TAGGGATTGGGCCTGCCCTCTGCCACCCGGGAGCAGGCCTAAGCCAGCAGGTCGTTATCTCCCGAGGGGTCCCAGACTGCGAGAGGGCACAGGCCAGGCTGAGGGACCCAACCTCCCCCCGAGTGCACAAATTTTTGTGCACCGGGCCTCTTGTATAAATATATTTTAAAAAAGAAAGAAGAGAAAACCCATCCTCTGATTTAGCTGGAATTCCTTGCACTGCTTTTTCCAAATCATGCCTCGTATTACCTTCTGGTTCTGCAGCGGGGAAAATGCGGGGAGCTATAGGGTTTCTCTCAGTCCTAAAACAGCCTGGGAACTCCAGGGGGGTCCCCACTCCAGAATCCCTGTTGCCAGCACAGTATGGTGTGCAGGTTGGGTGCTGCCCCTGGCTGCCAGACCTGGGAGGGAGGGGGCTGAACCCTGGCGTGTGCTCTATGTACCAGGCACCTCCATGCCCCACCAGGAGGCGTTCAGCCCCTAAGCCAGGGACAGCTCAGGGAGGGGCTCGAGGGGCCCAGAGTGAGGGAGACCTGGGGGACTGGAGTCAGGCTCCCAGGGTTATTGACACTGACCTGCTCCCCCGACTGTCCAGATGGAGCCCCGGAACCTGGCCCTGGTCTTCGGGCCGACGCTGGTGAGGACGTCGGAGGACAACATGGCCGACATGGTGACGCACATGCCTGACCGATACAAGATTGTGGAGACGCTGATCCAGCATGTAAGTGGCCACGGGCCGGGCCCCTCGCTGCCGCTCGAGGGGGGGTGTGCACAGGGACGGTTGAGGCAGCTTAAGAAAACGCTGCTGGGTGGCGAATGCCCTTCAAGGCCAAACAGGAATAGATCCTGGAATCCCTACCGTCGGGGATTCCCCAGGTCGCCAGCAGAAGAAACAGGAGGCCCCTGAGTTTCCAAGATGTGTGTGAGGGTCAGAGGAAGGAGGAAGGTCAGGGAAGGTCAGGAAGGTTGGAGAGCAGAGGGGTGAGTGCAGGGGCACCTTCAGAAGCGTCCGCCCTGGAGAGGAGGAGAG